ATAAAAATTGGTCGAGTTGCCTGTTAGTTCCTGTGAAACATACCAGTACGTCGTCTACGTATCTCCACCAATATAAAAACTGTTTGAATACGGGATGTTTTGAAATCTTTGTCTCTAGATAATCCATAAAAATATCTGATAGCAATGGGCTTAGAGGATTACCCATTATAAGTCCTGCACTGTTATTTGTATACATTTTATTATTAAATTCAAAGTAGACCTGGTTTATGCAAACTTCAAGAAGATGTAAAATTTCAGATGTAATTATTGGCTTTGTACTATTTTAGTCTAAAAGGTTTTTTACTAGAATAAAAGTTTCTGTAGGAGGGATAATAGGAAAAAGATTTTTTACGTCAAATGAAATTAATCTGGAGTTGTTAGGTAATTGAAAATGTTGTATTTTATTAACTAGTTCTATTGTATTTTTTATGGTAAATTTAGGTGAAAATTTAGTGTGTTCTGAAATAATCTCTAACAGTTTTTTTGAAATTTTATATAACGGAGCTGTATAAAAAGAAACTACAGGTCTTATTGGGTGATCCGGTTTGTGTAGTTTAATGAAAGAGTATAATTTAGGAGGCTGTAGGTTCATAATATTGAGGTATTTCTGTTCTATTGGATTTAGTATTGATTTTGAATTTTCTAACGCTAGCTTAATTTGTTTTTGATATTTTTCTGTCGGATCTTTGTGTAAAGTTTCAATATTTTGATTATTTAAGAATTCTATTGTTTTGTTATTATATTCTATTTTATCTATAGCAATAGTAGTGTTACCTTTGTCTGCTTTTGTAAACACAATGTTGTTTTCTATTGATTTATCTTTTGTACTGGAGCAACACATTTCTGATGTTTTGCTGGCCGATGGTTGATGATCAAACGTATGGCAAGTATTTTAACTTTCAATTTGAGAATTTGGTAAACAACAACGATCATTTTTCATTTTCATATTTGGTTTTAATGCGTAGCAATAGTGTTCACCAATTATCAAGATCAATAAGGTGCGTCCAACAAGAGAGCATTATTTAATATTTATTTATATTCAAATAGTTTTCTATAGAGAAAAATACATATAATGGATGTAACTTTTAGATGAACTGATGATGTGTATAGATTCATATTCGAAACGTCTTTAATAAACGATGAAGTACTTTGTGAAGTGGTTTTCTTCGCCAATTTTGTGACCGATAACTCCCTCACAAGTATCGTTGTCGTTCAAATATAGTCCAGAAAGAAAAAGTCAAGGTCTGATACAGAAATATGACAGTGAAAACCGAAATACATGACGCTACATAGCAACACACTTTAAAAAACTATCACTACAACCATACAAATAAAAAGCTTTACTACTTTTTTTATTCATTGCGTAAAAGATTTTTTAATCTACTTTTTGCTACTTTCTTTTTAAAGGCAAAACTACTAAGCAAAACTACTCACCAAGGGGTTTTCGAATTGCACTAGCCTCTGGACGGACTGAAGGTTCTGGAATGTAACAATCACTCAACAGGCAGCATTCCACATACAATCTAGCATTTAGTTTATATGGAAATGTTCGATATGCGGGATGTACAGTGGTCAAAACAAAATAAATAAACAAAAAAAAACTTACCTACAAAAATAAATAGCGAAAATGTTTACTTTTACTGCGGGAATTAATAAATTATAAATCTGTAAAAATAATAAATACAGCAAAGAATAAATATGAAAAAATACATGTATACTTATCTTTTGCTAAAAAAAAAATACAAAATTCTTCTGAATTGTGATGTGATACTTTGGATTTGGTTGACAGGATTGTAAAAAGTAATAGTTTTAGGTATCTAGAATGAGTATTAGCTGAAAGGCAAATTATACAAGTTCGCCGTAACATGATCTATGGCAGTGAATGTTGAGCAGATGGTTCTGAAACTATTTTCCTGTGGCATTTCAACAGTGCTAGTCAAAAGTCCGTTCCCCCCCCCCCTCGTATCTTTTTAACGGTTATTGTTATAATAATGAAATTTGGAGGGAGGTAATAAACAGACGTAGGCTTTTTAATAATCATAACAAGTGATGTTCTAGCGCCACTATGACAGATCATTTTAAATAGGACCTTATGGCAAGTGATACCTCGTTTGAAAAGTATTGAAAATACCTATTCAACCATACTAATTTTATTTGAGTTTGAGCTCATTTAGATGAATAAATACTAAAATTGTAGTTTCGAATTTAATTAATAAATATTAAAACCTACGCCTGGTTACTTGTCAAAAAGTTGACGTTTTCCAATTCCCTAATTGTTTTTACGTCAACGTCAACTTTTTTGACAGTTAACCTGAGGCGAACGTTAAAATATTTATTAATTAAATGCGAAACTACAATTATTTTAATATACCTACCTATTCAATCATAATAAAAATTGTAACGTCCGCCTTTGGTTATTTGTGAAAAAGATTTACGTTTATCAATTCTCTACTTGTTTTTATTTTGCAAAAGCTTTTATAGCTCAATATTTAGTTTAGTCACATAATAATAAACAATCAGAATGTCCACTCTCAGATGCCGCCTTTGAAGTTTTTCAGCACGCGCGCCATGTTTTAGAAGGAAACACAGAACACAGACTCAGATGGAGAATCACATTTGGTGTCATGGGTCTTTATCGACATATGATTTTTGAGGTTATGTAATTGTAAAAATACGTCCAATAAAATTAACCAACCGCCCCATTACATAAAAACAATTTGTTTAGTGACAAAAGTACTTTTTCTCTCAATGGAAATGTTAACACACACAATGTGAGGTATTTGAGTGACACAAATCCTCATGTCTTTACAAAAAAAAAAAATTAATGTCTGGACGGGTATTTTGGGAAACCACAAATTTTTTGGCCTGTTTTTCTCAATACTAACTTAACCGGTGAAGTGTATCTGGAAATGATACAAAATGCAATTCAACCATTAATACTTGAAATTCAAATCCAAATCCGATCGTGATTTCCTGGTTTGGTACACTTCTTCTGTGACTGAACATAACAGCTTGTGTTTTGTCGGGATTTAAGGCTATTTTCCACGTTATACACCATCTTTGGAATCTATTCAGTGCTCTCTGCAGGTGAACGAGAGATAAGCAAGACCTCGATTCAAAGGAGGCTTCACAACAGGGGGTAAAGTTTATCCAAAAGCCACAAATTTAGATCTAGATATACAAAAAATATGTATTAAGTTGCAGGTAAACGAGGGTGAATAACTTTTTTTACAATATATTCACTTTAGACATATTGGTCATCATTTTTGAAGAATATAACTAAATAAATAAATAAAATAAAACAAGGGAAGTACCATTCTGGAGATAGTGGAGAATGATAACATCTAGGATGATAAAAACGATGTAAAATGAAGCACAGTTGTAGCTTATATTCAAAATTTGGGTTAAATAAATACACTGTGAAAGAGTGGAAAGAGTTCGAAGATTGTTATTACCTATTAAAATATAAACCTCATCTAGCTATCTTCCGGAATTTCCTGTTTTACCAAAAAATTAAAAAAAAACAAAAATAAAAACTGCTAAAAATGCGTATTTATTGTTTTCTGTTTTTTTTTTGTCAACAATTTCGTCCTATTCTTATACAATATAAAAGTGAATATACTCTAAAATATTTAACAAGAATATAAGAAATTACAAAATAAATCGTTCAACAAAATAATTTAAAGAGTATCTGTTTATGTGTGATGTATACAAACTCATGCTGCATACCATTCTATTCATATTTGTACAAAATATCAATCACTATATCAATAAGTACAATGTAAAAAGTAAATATAAGGTGTTTCCCTAAAATTTTCTTTTAAGGTTGCTTTAAAATAAGTCAAATTAAAAATTACATAATAATATCACTGATACAGTTCTTGCTTATTTTAAATTTGTCAAAAAACGCTGAAACTAAAAACTTTTTAAATGTTTCCCACTAAAGGATGGAATAAATAGGTAGTAGGTGCCATCTAACGTGGATGAAAGACAATTAGATAATAGAACATTTGAAAAAACTTCGTATTGTTAACGAAAGCAACAATTTTAGATAGGAATTGCAGAAATTCATGACTTCTGGTGAGTAGATATGCTATGTATGTTCTGGTCCACCCCTAAATCGCAACCCCTACCCCGGATCGTAAATGCCAAACAACTTTACGCATGATGATGTGTGAGGCATTGTTGAAAAGGGTATGAAAATACACATGACACATAGTGCAGCGTTGTAATACGTGACATTTGACATAAAACGTGACATAATACGAGATATTCCACGTAGGACTTAACATAATACTTGACATCTAACTTGACATAAAACGTGACATGTGACATTCGACGTAGGACGTGACATTTGGCGCAGGACGTGTTTCTAAGTTCATCATCATCAGCAGCATCTTCTTCTTCATGTACCATGTCCTTTCAGAACGTTGGTTACCATCATAGTTATCTTAATTTTATTCACTGACACCCTAAATAGCATGCTTGTATCAACATCATACCAATCTCGCAAGTTCTTCAACCATGAGGTTCTTCTTTGTCCTGGACTGCGTTTCCTGCTATTTTTCCTTGCGTGATATTTTGTAGCAACCTATATTTGGGACCTCTCATTGATCACCGTCATATTTGACCAAATTATGTAACATTTATGACATAATTTGGTCGGACGGATGACCGAACGGTATAAATAATAAGCAATAAACTGCTGTCAACTTAGTAACACGTCCTGCGTCTATTTTCACATAAAAGTCACGTCCTACGTCGAATGACACATGTCACGTTTTATGTCAAAAGTCAGATTTCGCGTTTTATGTTAAATGCGATAAATGTCATATGTCACATATTATGTCACGTCCTACATCGAATGTTACGTTTTATGACAAATGTCATCCCACGTTAGGCCGTTTGGCATTTACGATCAGGAGTAGGGGTTGTGATTTAGGAGATCGGCCAGAATGTACATCGCATATGTGGTGTATAACCGAAGTCCAGTAATTTGTTTCTGGATTAACATATCTTCGATTTCTACAACCACCGAAACGAGAAGGTGAGTTCTCGGGATGCAACTAGTTTCAGATTGAATCCTAATTTAACTGATGTATTATAATATTTAAAGAAAGTAGAGCAAATTCAAATAGAAAGGGGAATATTGATAAAAATCTAATCAGTAAAGAGCCTCTAAACACAACAACAAAATATATTAATAAAACTAAAGATTCTGCCTTAAAAACGAATAATTGTAAGACAAGATAACCTATATAATCGGTGGAGCACCAACTAAATCGAATTCTTTAAATTCTACGAGCAACGATGTATATAAAAAAAATTATAAAAGAGGATTCATTTTTAATATTAGAAGTTTCTAATTCTATATTTAGGAAAACACCTTATAACAAATTAAAAATATATAATTTATACAAAAATAATATAAAAATAAAAAAAAATTAGAAGTAATCAACACAAAACTAAAATAGCGTATGGTCAACAAGCGTTTTGTAATAATGAGATTTTTTTAGTCAGTACCTGAATTCAATTCTCTTACTAAAGTCGACATGGCATTAGTCACGGAATCAGCTGCCACCAACAAATCGTTTCGCAAGGAACGCCCCACTGAACCTGGAGTTCCGTTACCATTACCTAAACATATAATTGTTTGTGTAAGGTGCGTTTTTTGCTAATTTTGTTGTATGTCGTCAGTACAAGAGGCAAAAGGAGAAGAGGTTTAATCATGGATGTATAAACACAGATAGACTCAGTTATTTACATAAAATTGTGTAGTCAAAATTATTTGAATAGGTCACACTCTCAGCACCTTCAACTGTTGTCACGTTTTGTTTTAAAATTTCTTATTCGCGAGTCGCTGAAAATATTACTCCGTATTTTATACTCTACAGGTGCTATCAAACCAAGATAATAATTTATTGGTTAGACTAATATATTTAATTGTAATCAAAATATCAAGTATGCACATAGTGTGCATTATCATTTAATAATAGCGTATAATAGATATCAATCAATTATTTTATATGTAGAAGCACTGAAAACTATTTATAAATGGCAACGGTTGTTGACATTTCTCTGTCTTATGGATCTACGTCAAACTTCAAATGCTGTTCCATGTTTGTTTACTTTTTCCAGTAGATGAGGAAAATTTTTTTTCGATATTTTGGCTGTATTTTGAGTGATATTTGTGAAAAGTGAAATAAAATAAACGAAATATTTACATCGCGATCTCTCATTTCATTTCTAAGTACATACAATTTACATTATTTAAGATGAGGAAATGAAGAAGCGTGTTTGTTTACATTTTAATAGGCGTACCATTGGGTTTATTCATGTTCATTAATGTATTGAATAAGATATGAGTTCATGAAATTAGTAGACATTTATAAATTGTAAGTAGACATCATCTGATTAAAAAAGATCTGTTTAGTACCTTTTTAATTTAATATTTCTCATGGATACAAATAAATTAGTGAAATAAATAAAACTCATTTATTTTTCTATGTAAGTTTCCAAATAATATTGACGATCGAACTATTTTGGTAGTAAATTTAGGAGAAAACATAAAGATTTTTTATTGTAGCATTATTTTGATACCTATTAAAAATTAACTTGAATTCAACTATATTTTATTGTATTAATTTTAAAGCAAATAAAATTGTATTTTAATTTTTCTATAGAGACGTAATTTGTTAATAGTTAAACTCTCGTTTTTTTTTAATTCTTTGAACGTGTTTTTATACATTATTACTACTTCCAATTTTTAAAATCTGAATAATTACCCGCGGGTAAAAATTCAAGCACGCTTATTCTCATTGCGGAAGCATCACATTCTATCGAAGCTTCAAAACATTGTGTGTTAAAGGTATCTTATGACTGTGTCCATCTATGTTTATACGTCCATGGGTTTAATGGTTAGTGAAAAAACAATAAAGAAAAACTTTGTTCACAAGAATAGAAAAATATTTACCAATCTACAAACCATATCTGTGCTTATATCCGAATATTTTGCCTGTCGCTTTTATGCAATTATTATACTCTATATAAAAAGGAATTAACGCAATAAACAATGGTAACTTTGATCAACGCCACACAACAAAATTATACCTATAATAGTGTGATCTTTATTAACAAATAAAGCACAACTTACCTAAATTAATATTAGAAGAACCACCAAAAGCACTCCTCACATCACCACCCACTCCAACCAATGAATCTGTATTGTACCCTCTTTCCTGCGACATATTATTCATTTGCTCCCTGCTGCCCAAAATCATGGCTTGGGAATGTGGTATGTGTTGAGCACTTTGCGGATGCGGTATATGCTGCACCCTATCCCTTTCTCGCTCTCCCTGGCTAACCGGTGGAATGGAATTTGACATCGAAGCATTGGTAGACGGCGGCATACCCATCGGGGTTTGTGGAGCGCTACGGGGATTTGCCTGAGTCGAAGGTTGAACGCCCGGGGGAAGAGGTGGGGATTTTGTACTGCGCGGCGAAGAGTTTGGAGTGCTGCGTGGAGATGATTGATGATTCTAAAAGAAGGCAAATGGAGTATGTCATTTAGATTGTTCTTTTTTAAGTAATATATAACAAGATTGAAACCACATACCAAATACATGGGATTTTACGTTACAACTCTTACTTTGATACATTTTAATTTATTTTTGTCAACTTTTAGTTCAATTATATTAGAAATTCTTTTAACTTACTTTTAACATTTTCATAAGTCCCTCTAACTGCATCATCAGCTGTCTTCTTGAATCCTGCAACGTTGTCAGATGGGTCTCTAGTTCGTCTTTCCTCATTCTTAAAGCTCTCAGTTCGTTCATTAATACTGGATTATCGGCACCATGGCCGCTAGATTCTAATTCTTGTTGTCGCCTGAAAAAATATATTTTTTAACTTAATGGAAATTTATGTTAATTATTTTAACATAAAAACGTTAATATAACAATATACTTGATAAACATGACCTAAAGAAAAATTTTTGAATAAAAGTAAATAATAAAATAAAGAAGCAATGTGAAACCAAAAGAACTGGAAGATCCAAGCTCATCTGGAACTAATTCAAAAATGGTGAATGGAATCTGATACTATCTGATTATTTACAGTTATTTATTTCCTTACCTCAGTCTAGCAATTTCTCTCATAATTTCTCTATTTTTTGCTTCAAGTTGGTTGATAAGTTCCCTCTGAGCTCTCGTAGAATCCATTCCCAGACAAGCTTCGGAAGGAACCCGCCCCTAAAAGAAACTAAGGTTATTGAAATAATGATCTCTAACCCGAGGATTATTTCATTTAAAGTAATACCAATTTTCGTCAAAAAGCGTGCATTTGAGAAGGCAATTGTTGGGCTTAAAGGTAAAAGAAGATTACTGTTATGTAGGCTGGCAGATGTGGTGCAAAAGTAAATCGATACCAAAGTGAACTTGATCAAGCACAAAAGTTTGTTTTGTCCAGTTATTTAAAGAAGCGTTTTGTTTTTGACCAAACCAGTAAACTAGAAAACTGTTATACCTCCACTACACATTGGCAGACGCGTCTGCGGACGCATCTCTTATTTTTCAACACTCTCTATTTTTCTGTCCCAATAAATTGGTTTTTTTAGTACCGCTTTATGATGTACTACTTTTATACATTTATACACTAATTTTTTAACAGGCATCTCAAAAACCTTGGTAGCCCATTTTTGTTTGCAACATTAAAAGTTTGACGAAAAAGTAGCAAAGGTTCGTTAAAACTGCAATGCTTTATCTTCCATAACAACCGAAATTACCTATAAAAGTGTCCGACTTGGGACACCCTGTACTTACTGTAAATACACAATGCCTTTTCCTGTACCCACGGACTACATTTGCTTCTTTGAGCCCTAAAAGACCCAAGTAAGCTGCTCATTTTCTTCTTCACAACTGCTGAATCTATATCAAGATTTCAATCGACTCACATGCATCTTCTTTTTTTTTTAATATTAAAACTTATTTTTTGGATCCCATAATATAGGGTTTTCTTCATACAAATCTATTAATTGTAAACATTGTTCATGTGACCACTCCATTTTACACATAAATCAATGAAATGAATAAAATTCAATAAATCCGAACTTGTCTTGCAAATGCAACAAATCCCCACGCTATCCTTCTAAACTGAGCGCGAACGCACACGTATGTTTCTTTGATGTGTGCTAAAAAACCGACACCACTCTGGCTCACAGCATGTCTGCTCAAGTCATTCGTGAGAAGCAACGCATGCGGCGAGATGTTACGAAAGTGCCGTCCACATTTGCACACGTATGTGTATTCGTAGTTGCTCACCGCATGCGTTTGTAGGTCTGTACGCGCCTTAAGAATTTCATGATATGGTCGCATCTGCTTTTCGTAAAACAAAACTATTGAAAAATGCAGTAATATATCGCCTAATTTTCTATGAAGATGAACAGAAGGAAAGAATTAATTGAATAATCCAACCCATCACATCCACACTTTAGGTTTTAAACAAATGACTAAGTGAACTAAGTGAAACTAAATGAGAAATTTTATTACACTTGGTTTTTATTGTTTCCTTAGTACAGGATTGTTTCCCAGTTACCTTCAGACTCTGTTATTTACTAGTAACCTGCTACTACTCTGGACTTTCTAGCGTTTTTTTTCACATACTTTGTTTCTATTCTATATAGACAAACTTAACTATTCTATATAGACAAAATTAAGTCTAAAAAATAATAAATGTACCATTCTACACAAAAGTGCAATGCGTCTTCAATTAAGATGTAGTCTAGTGACGTTCAATGCTACGAGGTATAAAATGTATCTCCCTTTATACTTTACTGAGGCAAAATGAAAAGTTCTTGGGCTAATAATGGAACAATAAGGTTTTTATGTTTGTATTCGTATTTTCTAGCGTCTTAACGCCTTCTCATGGGCATAAATCAATGACTTTTAACGAGCTATCTCAACGAGACCCTATATCTGACCACACTGACAGACCATACATAGGGCGATTTGATTCACTGGCAAATTCCAATTCAAAGCGGCTGTTCCACTTTGAATTATATACATTTTCAAAAGCACAGACTGAAGGGAGGTATGCGCAGGTCCTGCTGCATTCCATCTCCGAGTATTCCATTAAATTTGCGTTGGCTAAGATGACCAGGCCATCCAAATAAGAATTCTTATATTTTCTCGCTATATCAAGTAATTGAATCTCTAGCACTTCTCATCAAAATCTATATTTTTGTTCCTAAACCAATCAGCGATGTCTGCCTCTCGAGTTGCAGAAGTCGGTATTTTTTCTATACGATATCTGTAGTTGGGTGCATTGTAAATTATAATTATAGCTCCAAGTTCTAAAAGATCCGGTTTAGAGGACCAACTTTCGAATTCATATGCTCATGATAATCGCACGTTTTGCTTAAGGTATCACACTTAAACCTACTTTTAAAAAAATCTTAATCACTTCTTATGTCCGGAATAATAAGATACGTTTTCCTTTACTGAAGCTAAGTTCAAGAGGATTGAAACTTTCAAAAACTTTATTAATATTTCAGCACTCACTTCATCGAGACCAAATGCTTTTCCATCTTTTGCCGTTTCTATTCCCTATGTAACTTCACTTTCTATTATAGATGAAACTCTTATGACAATCGTTGTACAGTGCTCTCTGTTGTTCTGCTCTTTCATCTTCAAATAATTCAGAAACGTGGTTTTCCCGTATCTTTCACGCCAAACATTCATTTTATTTAGTGTTCTTTCTAATTATATTAGGAATATTTTATCAGCACCAATCACAAAAAAAATTATTTAATAATGTGTTGTGAAATGTAAAAGAAAACTTGGGAATAGATAGTTGGAAAGTATTTATTATTAAAAAAAAGTATACAATCCTAAATTTTGTTACTGTTTTGTGGGGCTACTTTTACTGTAGAGAAAAAAACATAAAGAGAAGAAAACGTAAGTGTCATTATTGTATTTACTATTGCATTTAAGTTCAAAGAAAAGATCATAACAATAATTATAGTGAAAATAAAGCATTAATATAATGCATAATTATAGTGAAAATAAACATTTATTTATTTACTTAAGGAACTTTGATTAAAAATTTAAGAATCAGCGTTTTGTGAAGTTCGTACAAGGTTTTTGCTTCTCCTGCTAAATAAGCAAGGCTTAGATATCTTTATTTTTTTCTTGGAAAAATATTTTAATTATTAAAATATTTTTTATATTCTTTGTCGATTCAAGAAGTCCCTTATCGCATTCGTCTCAAATATGTATAAATAAAATACATCATAGGAAAAGATAGTGAAACACCACATATTTTTATTTATAGAGATCAAACATTTAAATAAATTAAATAAAATTGCACTTTTAAGTAGAATAGTTCATATGTATTTCGAATAAAGCAAAAAGCACCAGTTTAGGCTACTTACCGCATCAGGTGACAGTGAGTGTTTTCTATAACCGCCTCGAGGCTAAAAGAAGCAACAGCAAAAGCACATTTAGGAAGATCATCCAACATAAAAAAAACAGAAGTATCAGACAACTGAATATACATGCCTGTTTTAATGTTAGTAGTTTTAACTATGTGTAGATATTTTGAAAAAACTCCATCTTACCATTCCAGATCGTGCCTCTTCGGCTAGTTTCGCGGCGTATCTCGCTATCAAACGGTGCTCGTCGTCTCGGGCACTGTCCAAACTGTAAACAAAATTTTTTTCTCAAATTCTGTAAATGACAAACATGCGATGTAAAAAAGTACAAAGAGTCAAGATTGAAAAATGTTGTTTTTTGTGACATAGACATTTGACATTCACCCAGTGTCAATAGATTCACATCAACACAGTGTCACATCAACTAAAAAAGTAAACACTATTGACAACATCCTGGAAAAGTCTACTAGTAGACGGCCAATCCTTCCAACATCGGACCAAACCAAATCAGATGGCAAAGATCAAGCTACAACGGTTCTTCTCAGAGCCAACACTGACAGTAGCGAGCATAAATATCGAGGCCATCACTATAGCCAAACAAGACATCTTATCAGAATTTTGCAAGAACACGAAATGTGGGGTATTGTGCATCCAGAAAATCCACAGAGGCCTAACTGCAGCGAGACCGAAAGTCCCAGTATGAAACTGATTGCGGAGATACCACACAATAACCACTGAGATTGGAAAATGCACAATAATCTCGGTATACAAGCCCCCAAACCAGCCTTTTATATTTTCAGCCCCAACTAACTTCCAATCAAAACCCAATCAGGTTGTACTGGGATACTTTAAGAGTCACAGTTTACTCTGGGGCTAAGCAGATTCGAACGCAAATGAAGACGCAGTAGAAGCATGGGCTGACACGAGTGGCCTCACGTTAATCCATGATCCTAAACTTCCACAACGAGTGGCCTCACGTTAATCCATGATCCTAAACTTCCACCATCTCTTCAGAGCAAAGTTTGGAAAAGAGAATATAACCCGGATATCTGTTTTTCAAGTAATAACCTCGAAGACCGATGTACCAAAGTTGTTTATGGCTCCATACCAAAAACTTAGCATAGACCAATTGGTATAAATATCTCTCCAATTATTATATCACAAGATATTCCATTCAAAAGGAGATTTAACTTCAAAAAGTCAAACTGGTAAAAGTATGCAGACATGCTAGATTCTAAGCTGCTACGTCTTAAACCATATGCAGAGAACTACGAAAACTTTGTAGAGGTACTCAAAAATGTGTCTAGAAAAGCTATCCCCATAGGACGTAGACAGCAATATGTTCCCGGGATGTCCAGCGAGTCCAAAAAACTAATGATAGCATACGACACCCTCGATTCCACTAACCCTTTTAGTTAAGAAACGGTTGACTGCGGAGCAGTACTACTCCAACAGCAACTGCAGACAGGAAAGTGGATTGAGACCCTGAAAAAATGGGCATGACACATAGTAGCAAAATAGCATGGAATCTTGTAAAAAAACTTAGCAGTGATCCAAGAAACATAAACCACCCTGCAAGGTTACAGCAAACCAAGTCACTGCTCAACTCCTTATGAATGGAAGAACTACGAACCGATATAAGGACCCAAACACTAGATTGGATTCGGAAACAAACCACCTAGGAAATCCTCTATCACTAAAAGAACTCCACGACGATATGAACAGATTAAACAATGGGAAAGCTGCAGGTGTTGATGATATATGCAATGAACAAATAAAGCATTTAGGTCAATGAGTAAAAAACTGGATCTTGCAACTTTATAACTCGGCCTGCGAAATTCAAAATCATGGAGGAAATCTAAAGTAATAGCCTTGATAAAACCAGGAAAAGACCCAGAATAGGTGCTGTAATATAATTCCCCGTTAGGACCACTCGCTTTGTTCTTTTGACCAAATTGCCACAGGTCATTGTTTTGTCCTTTTTCGACCACCCAGGATAATTAACAGTATTTCCCTCTGTAAATATTTCTCTATAAAAAGGAATATCTATTCGATCTAATTTCATTTTTTTCGCTGTAGGTACAAGATGAAAAAGTTCGATGCTGTGTTTTTGGAGACCCCTGTGAAAGGGTAAGATATTTTTGATACCTTTCGTATTTATTTATATTTTATCATTTGTTTTCTTCGCCTATTATTACTTGAATCATCTAATTAGAGTCATAAGTAAATCAGTCCTCAAGTCAGTCCAAAGATTGTCATAATTTAAGTCAAAAGTCATTCCAACGTTATTCCCAAGTTAGCTCCGAGTTAATCCAAATATAAGTTTACCCTCAGCTAAGTATGGAGCCCCTATGTATAAAAGATTTGACTACAATCTGCTCTATAGTTCAAAGTTATTTCGAACAGTTTTCCTTATATTTATTGTTAGCCGATTTAAGTGAAGTTATTTCAAGTCTTAATTAGACGCACATTTTCCTAAATTCTTTGACAGTTAATGCATATTACCTTCTTGCCGTCGATCTGCTATCCAAACTTCCCATGCCATCAAAAGCTGCAAAATTGCCATCTGGAAAACCGTTGTGTGAAGGAATTGGAGAAGGAGGACTGCAAAAGAAAACAAATTTAAAATTGTATTATAGTTTCATTTAATTTTGGGAAATGAATAAAAACTTTGTAAGATTACTAGATGAAGATTTTGAAAAATAAAATACTTACACTATATGAGAGAGATTTAGCGTTTTCTCGGGTTGCTCCGGAAACCTTGGTAAATTATTTTTCTGTTTATCAGGAACACATCGAAAGGATTTTCTTAAGGACTGTCCAATTGTTTTACTGGGCGACTAGAAATAGAAGCATTTTTAAAAAATAATTAATTATGTATGTTCAAATATAAAATATTTTATTAAGGCCACTCGATCCGGAAAGCTGCGAACTGGGAAGATGCGAATTCGGACGAAGGCCGTTATAACGAAGTCGTGCGAACGTCGATCGTCTATTGATACAATATTCGTCCGAACTCTATGGTGTAATGATGGCTCTACAAAACGGTCTTTCTGCTTCTGATAAAGAATTTTTCTTTTTGGAGCAATCTCCTTTGATTCATCAGCGTGTCAGACAATTAGACGACGAAGAGAAGTGTGGGTAAATCCTATTTACGCAAAAAGGAACGAGTTTGGGGAATTTGCTCATTTGTGGTACGATCTCCAACTTGACGATGACCACCACTTCTATTTTTGAATGAAAAAGGATACATTCATGAACAACATTCATGATAAACTCGAAAAATTATGTAATTTTCGAGAAACGATCTATCCACACGAACGGCTGGTCGTAACATTAAGGCAAGTGTACCAACAGACAACAATCAAGGTAAACTTTTTTTATTAATACAATTATTTTGTACAATTATTTATAATATACTAACTGTGTAACTATAGCTTTAACTAAAGTTAAATCCCAAAAACAAAAAGTATTTATGTCATTTTTTATTAATTAACAAGTTAGATATTACATCCAACGAGAAGTCTACAGTCACATTGCTAAGGGATCAAAACCATGAAAAAAACTCGATGTTGACTAGAGGTTGACTGTACGTAGGTTTTGGAAATGAGCTGAGGAGGAATCACCGGAAGAATAATTTGGTGTACTTGAGTTTAGTACCTGAAGTTACTCTATAAAAACGTCCATCGCTTTTCGGCGTACAATGAATTTTCTCTCTTTTAGTAAATTATGGAGATATGTTAACAACAAAGGGGGAAGTTCTTTTCCTCTTAGATGATCTTTTGAACAATTTCTTGAGACTGAAAGTGGTTTGTGCTTGCAGGTGACTATCAATATTCTCACCATGCGACCTAGAAGTTGTACTTGTTTGAGAAGTTAGACGTAGATCGCCTTCATCAGCTAACTCCTCACCCAAATCATCACTTTTGTTTCCTTTATCGCTGAACGTACATGTATCACCTGATTGTTACATAATATAATTATTGATAGAGAGGGGCATCATTTCAGCATCAAGTAAGTGATAATGTTTCCAGAAGTAATAGGAACAACAGATTCACGATTAACGTTCACAAGAGACAATTTCAAAACTTATTTTGTAAACAACAGTTCACATTAGAAATAGGCGATAAAAAATATAACCTCTCTACCTCAAACAATAGGTTGGTGCATAACAAGAATAATTCAATTATACATACAATAAATGGTAGGAATTAAACGCAACATTCACCTACCTGGAAATTTCATTTCAGTAGAAACCTACTTCCACAATTTTTTTTGTACATTTTGCAAGCGATACTTCGATTCACGTTGATCCCATAGATATTTTCTCTCCTGTATAACCAAAATTAACTGTTCACAGTCCATGTCAATCTCACGTAATTCAAGTTTCACACTATTTCGCAATTAGATCCCAACATGCTAGAATTGGATATAGCATCGTCCGAATTCGGACGAAAACGTACGAACGGTACGGGCCCAGTGGACGTGCTCTTCTCCAAGCCACGTGTTTGGATCTTTCGTCCGTTTTCAACCGAATTGATTTCGCAGCTTTCCGGATCCAGTGGACGGGAGGCCTTAAACTAATCTCTGAAATCTAGTTTATCATTGTATGGCTTGATATATCAATGATATATGGCTTCAGAGATATTAATATATATGCTAATATAAAAAACATACTAGTATAGTCTTCCTACAAAAAAACTTACAAAGGAAGCGTATTCTTTCACTTGATGTTCAAGTATGTGGGGTGCTGAGACTCTACCTCTCCAAAAACAGTCTTGGCAAAGCGTATAATGCGGACATTTCTGACATCTATAACGAAACCCGGTGAAGTTTTCTCTTTGACAAGCATCACATTGGACCGGATGAATAACTAAAAAATGGATAGTGTTTTTAACAGTCCATAAATAGTTTCAATATGTTCAAACATTATTATTGTTTATTTTGTAAATAGTCAGCAAAACAATAAATAGAAAATTCAAATAAATCCATAATAAAACGGAAAGCACAGAAGAGAAGATAGAATCCCTTAATAAAACGATAGACGACATTAAAGACAATTTTATAAAGGACGAAGAAAGTAAGAATAAGACATGGATGATGACAGAGATTCTGCAGCTGATGGAAGAAAGAAGGAAAAACAAGAACAATAACTCTATGTATCAAACATTACAACTAGAGATACTGAGAAAGATCAGAGAAGCCAAACAGAAGAACTAGAGAAAAAATTGCCAAGAAATCGAAATTTCACAAAGTAAATACCAAGACTTCAACGTGTATAAAAAGGTAAGAGAAATTACAGGCAAATGAAAAAACAGAAGACTAAGTAAACTTGTTAATGACAACGGCGAGGTAATGGTGGACAAAGAAAGTATTGATAATACCTGGAAAAATTACATACGAAATTTATTTTTTGATGAGAGGGAAAACCAGTCCCCAATACCTACGGAAACAGGACAACCTATACTAGTGGCAGAAAAAAGAGCAGCCATAATATCACTAACAGAAGGGAGAGCTCCAGGATCAGATGGAGTACAGTCTGAATTTCTTAAACTTCTTGATCGTCTTTTAAGAATACTAAGTAAAATCTGCAATAATGTCTATGACACAGGTAATATTCCAAAAGTAGCTTCAAATTAGTAATCTAGAAATAGGTATCTCAGAAATTTTGTTTGCTTATATAGACTATAGTATAGACGGAAGAGAAAGTGGTTTTGTTCATGTAAACAATGTAAATACTTACCATTTTCAACATTAGCTAGACGATGTAACAGTGGTAACCAAACTAATGCTGGCGGACCAGGATCAGACATCATAGTATCCAAAAAGTCATTGACGGTGATCTTTGCATTCTAAAACATTATTTTAATAGATGTAATAGATAAGAACTTCATACTATCACTACTACTACGAATGTATTTAGCTCTGACACTATTTTTGTGGCATTTATATATTATCTATAGTATAAGTTCAAAATTGTAGGCACTAAAGTCCAAGAAATAGTGATGATGATAAAGTTTATTAAACTGATAGCTGTGTTCAGGGCTTTAACAACTTCAGGAGCAGAAGTTTTTGAAGCAGGTGGTTCATCATCGACCTCATCCTCTTCCGTTTCTTTATTTTTGAATAGCCCTTACAAATTCCTCATCCGTGAGCATTTCTTGGGTGTCAATTTCTTTGTCAGCCTCCTGATGCCCATTCTCGACCCTCAGATTCAGTAATTATTGTCGTGTTGTTTTGAGCCAGCTGAGCGACAAATGGGCTTAATATGATGTATTTTTCGTTGGATGAAGAGAAATGGATGCCCAACAATTTCGTTGAAAATTGAAAACGACGTTCTTGAGATTAACTTTCTTCAAAACTACTATCAGATCCGTTAATAGCGCAAATTTGTGTTCTGGATGACATTCTGGTCCATTGGTTGAATCATAGCTGTCGTGTTCTGTGCTAAGAACATGACAAAAATTTAACCATCTTCACTACGAAGTTCGTCAGCAGATGGATGACCAGGGCAGTTGTGCAGCAGCAACACTGTCTCCTGAGGAAGGTTCACACGTGCGAGATGACGACGAACATCAGAACGAATTCAAGAACAAATCTCTTGTCACCCATGCACTTTTTTGCCCTCGATACCATACGGGAAGATTGCACAACACAATCAGCACAATAGCACAACAAGCAAACGAAGTTTGTGAGTCCCTGAAGCATTTGCACAATGCATACAGGTGATTATTCCTTTCATACTTTTTCGACCAGGAGCGTTCTTTTCTTGAAATGACACCAATGTGTGGTCTGGTAACATGCGCCAATATAACCCACTTTCATCTGCATTGTAAATGTGCTGAGGTGTCAAATAGTTTTTAATCGCATGTTCTTCAAAAGCAGTTCGGAAGGGTTCGATCCCGTCGGCATTACTCGAGAGTTTCTCACCAGTAATTTTGAGACTACATGACGTTTACAGTCTAACTGCATGACGTCGTTTGAAATTGTCCAACCAACCCTTACATGCGGTGAAAACTTGGTGATTTGATGACATTTCACGATGGAAATGACGGGCTTTTTCATACCATTTCACCACTCATCGGAACATACTTTCTCCGCTGTTGTAGGAACCACATGAACACCGCACTTTCTACCTTCTGATATTCGGGGGCTGATGGTTTTCCTCTTCCCTGAACCACTTTTCGTTTCGCTGACAAACTTTTCGACCTTTTCTTTGTTCTTAATGTCCGTAATGGTAGACTTGCCAATCTGTCTCTTCAATCCTGACCCCCCAGGGGGAGTGTAGTGGTCGACGTGATGGCGTGTATTGTCCGTTTCCAGAGATCTCTGTCTCTGGTCATTTCTTTTAATTCATGCATAGATCTTTGGCATATTCCTGTAATTTGATCTATCCATCTTGTTGGGGATCTTCCTCGTGATCTTCGGCCTTCTACCTTTCCTTGTATTATGAGTCTTTCCATGTTTTCTGTGTTTGCTCTCATAACATGCCCAAAATATTTTAATTGTTGGAGATGGACTTTACTAGAGGGTCGTTGGCTAACTTTTAGCTCTCTTAAAATTGAATTATTTGTCCTACGGTCGGTCCAAGGAATTCGTAACATTCGTCTCCAACCGAACATTTCAGTGACGTCTATCTTTCTTCTCTACGATTGTCTCAGAGTCCAAGATTCACATCCGTAGGTCAGTATTGGGAATATTAAGCATTGATCAACCTCATCTTTATCGCTCTTGAAATTTGACAGTCCTTCCATATTTTGGTCATTTTTGCTGTGGCAACTTTTGCTAGATCACATCTACGTTTAATCTCTTCTTGTAATGACCCTGTGTTTGTGATTAATGATCCCAGATATAAGTATGAGCTCACAACCTCGAACCAGTCAATTGTGGTTATGTGTGGATGATTGTTGTGTAGTCTATCCACTATCATGATCTTTGTCTTTGATATGTTTAATTGCAGACCAAATATATGACTTTCGTTTTCGATCAGTCGTAAAAGTTCTATCAGCTCTGCTTGACTATTTGCAAGAAGGGCTGTGTCATCTGCGAAACATAGGTTGTTTAGTTTATGACCATTTATTGAGATGCCCTTTTCCCATCCTTCAAGTGCTCTTCGCATAATATACTCCCCATGTATGTTGAATAATTGTGGAGATAGTATACATCCTTGTCTGACACACCGTTCTGGATGAAATTCGTTCGAAAGTGTGTTAAGTACTTTAACTGATCCAGTAGTGTGTTCATATAGTTCGGTTATAAGCGTAATTAGATGTTGTGGTACGCCTACTTCTTTTAGTATTCGCCATAAGTGTCTCCACTTGACCCTGTCGAACGCTTTACGGTAATCTATAAAACAGATGTATAGTGGGATGTTGAATTCCCTAGATTTCTCGATTATCTGTCTTATATTCAGCAGGTGTTCTCAGTGCCTCTACCTTTGGTAAATCCAGTTTGCTCTTGTGGAATTTCTCTTTGAAGGAATGTTTTCAGTCTCTCATTGATTATATGTAGCATTATCTTGCTGGCATGGGATATAAGAGAGATAGTTCTATAATTGTCGCATTTATGGAAGCTGCCTTTTTTATGTATGGTCGTTATTGTAGATTTTGTCCAGTCTTCAGGCCATTGTTTGGACTTGCCAATACCGAACTGTTTTGAAATGAAACTGTAGCTAGTTCCTTTGCTGTATCAACTTGTGAATTTTGGTCTTTTGTTCGATAGTCAAAGTCACGTGTTTACGTGGAGCCATCAAGGAAAATAAAAACCGATGTTCGCCATGTTGCTTCAATCGTGGGAGAGGCAGGGCGGAGTCGCAAGAGCCCGTTCGGAATAAGCACCGTCCGGACGACCTTGGGTTCGGAATAACGCAACCGTACTGTATATACGGTAAGGTAATAAGGTATATAAGGTAAAAAGGTATATATAAGGTTTAAAATTCACGTAACAGCGTAAACTGATATCAATAGAATGTCCTGACTGTGAGATGTATCTCTTTTTAACTTGCGTCTTAGTGCGTCGATGATCTACTGTCCTTTTCTACTGGTCGACAGTGTAATATTTTATAGATACTTTACAAGTCCATTACTTTATAACTATTTGTGTGGCCACAACCTGGGAACAGTGTTTTCATTAAATGGTCATTAAAGTCTACAATTTTGAAACTTTATTCTAGCAAAATTCTCGACAACTATCGACGGCACTATAGATACTTGACTATGGATATTTGTCTACTTGTATTTTGCAGACAACAGCCCAAGAAAAGTGCAATTGCAGGATCTTTTGCCCTCTATATCTCAGAAGTTTTTGTGCATTTATCACAATATTTGTCCAAAACCGTACTTAAGTTCTTTTTTTATTTGAGAAAAATGTATGATTCTGCATTTGTACTGTTCTTGGACTCTGACAATACGGGTTAGTTGTTTCTTACCGGACTAAAAATTGAATTGGCAAGTGAGTCGGTATAATTAAAAGTCGGAGATTCATAAACTGCTGCCGGAAGAGCCAGAACTTCTTGTAGGTATTCATTAAATCTCCATTGTAATAACAAGCCGTTGCTATCGGATATTTGCGAGAATATGTCTGAAACGAATAATCCGTTAGAAATTCAAATTTATGTTTAGATTGTGTTAATAATTTCATAATAAGTGAAGGCATTTTGTTGTTATTTTTAGTCTGTCTTTTATAACTGTTTTGTTAAATATACAATATGTACGCAAAGTAATGTAATTTATTGATATTTTGAAGTTCTCTCTGAATTATTTTTCACCAACCAGCATTTTTATTTATCAGATTATGACTTATAAACCCTTTTGATTACTCCCAACTGCTAGTGACAGATGATGTTGTGTGAGAAGGCTCACAAACATGCCATCGATTTAATTGCTCAAAGCTAAGGAAGTAAACCAAAAATAATATCATGGTATGATGTCAATGTAACGGAAATGAAAAGATTTCTAGGTATACTTTTTCTTATGGGCACTAACAAATTAAACCGAATGAACGACTATTGGAAAAAAACTTATCTGTTTAGCCTGCAGTGTTTTTCATCCTTTATCAGCCGCAATCCGTTTTTATTGATTTTGAGAAGGTTACTGTTTGAGAACACAACACTAGAGCCACGAACTCAATAAATTTTTATAGTAATAGAATGATACCAATATATTATCCCAACAGGGAGCTTTGTATCAAAGAATTGATGGTTTTGTGGAGAGACCGTTTAAAATTTCGGCAATATATTAAAGGATCAAACTTTACATGTTAGCGAGTGGTACCGCCCTTAAAACATATAGTCCAGGCTGTGAGGCCGCTCCCGTTGGGAAAATGTTTCTGATTCGGTTTCTTCGCGGATTCCGGTTCAAAAATGTCCCCTTTAAACAAATCTGAAGGGTGCCGGGCGAAATTTTTGGGCAGAAATTGTTTAAACAATTTTTTTAAACAAATTCCAAAAATCTTTTTTTTAATCTGGAAAACATTTTTTTTAGGTTTTTTGGGTCATTTTAAACAAAAAAGGTCTGTTGTCATTTTTCTCTAAAGTTGATAGTTTTCGAGTTATAAGCGATTTAAAGTCTGAAAAACGCAAAAATACGCATTTTTGAGGCTTGAAAACACATATGTAAATTATTATTTTTGAGGTTACCAAGTGTCTAAATTGAAGTTTAAATATTCAACTTCAAGATTGTGAAGAGTAATCGGGGCTTATTTTAATTTAGACCGTTGTTTTTTAATTGTTAAGTATGCGCGTACACTCGAATTTTCAGCCGCCGCGGCGCGGCGCGCTAGAGTGCGCTTCTATCGTACTTATGCATAGTTTACATATACACTTACGCAAAAAAACCCGAACAAATCCTTGAAGTTTATTAACATAGTTTTTTCCATAATTTATTTATGTAGGTATTAATTATTGTCATTGGGCTAATTAAATAAATCAATCATCGCAATGTAATAACCGTATATAGTTTTTTTTTTCTTCCAAATTTGAACAATATAATTATTATTTATTGAGTATATATTTATTTATATCAATTGTAAATAATATTTTTAAATTATTATTTAAATAATACAATGCAGTAAATATTAATATTAGTAAACTTAATTTTAAATTGCGCGGTGTTTAAAAACAATATACTATCGCAAAAATGCAAGTTTTTACCTGTTTAACAATCGCGCGCTCATACTTGATTTGTTATTACTTAAACGATCATTAGGAAGACTATAATGCCCATTAAAAAGGTATTATATTATTAATGTGTTATTAAAAAAATTGTGAATGGATTTAAAATGTCTTTTTCCGTACCTCTTCTTAAATGAAAACTTACCGAAGAAAATTTAGTTTGTATTTTTTGTAATAACATCAACAATATTAAGTTAGTGCAAAAACCTAAAGTAGATTTTTACATAACAATACAAAATGCTGCTCTTCGACGAAAAGACAGTGTGACTGAAAAATTTAATTTAATCTAGCCAATATACCTTGTACCTCTGACGCACTTTACCAACACTTGTTAAGAGCTTGCGCTAAAACATATATTTGGCGAAATGCCATATATTCCCGCTATCAAACTCTCGATTTTACACAATATGGATATTATATGTCTGATAGTGGTGGGTTGGGAAACCGTGCAAATGCAAAAAGACTTGCAAAACTAATGCTTGCAACTGCAAGAAAAATCATGTCAACTGTGTACCATTATGTGGATGTGATTTAGATTTTTGTGAAAACAAAGATACTTTGACTGAGTGATATTAGTGTGTTATTTAACAATCTTTTGTACAATTATTTTATGTAACTATTATTAGACTTTAGACGAAATTTATATTATAACTCAATTGATATAAATAAATATATACTCAATAAATAATAATTATTTGTAAGTATATGTAAACTATGCTTAAGTACGATAGAGGCGCACCGCGGCGGCTGAAAAATCGAGTGTACGCGCATACTTAACAATTAAAAAACAACGGTCTAAATTAAAATAAGCCCCGATTACTCTTCACAATCTTGAAGTTGAATGTTTAAACTTTAATTTAGACACTTGGTAACCTCAAAAATAATAATTTACATATGTGTTTTCAAGCCTCAAAAATGCGTATTTTCAGACTTTAAATCGCTTATAACTCGAAAACTATCAACTTTAGAGAAAAATGACAAGAGACTTTTTTTGTTTAAAATGGCCCAAAAAACCTAAAAAAACGTTTTCCAGATTAAAAAAAAATATTTTTGGATTTTGTTAAAAAAAATTGTTTAAACAATTTCTGCCCAAAAATTTCGCCCGGCACCCTTCAGATTTGTTTAAAGGGGACATTTTTGAACCGGAATCCGCGAAGAAACCGAATCAGAAACATTTTTCCAACGGGAGCGGCCTCACAGCCTGGACTAATACAGAAAAAGTTGTTTTAAATATATTGGCAGAGAAATTGGACAATGGCCATCCTCTATTTATGGATAATTTTTACAATAGTCTAAAGCTTGCTGTTACCGAGAAAAACTTATGTGACAGGAACCTTACGTTCAAACGGGAAAGGAAATCCCAAAGAAAATCATAAAGACAAAACTAAAAAAATGGTGAATTGGTGGTTCGACACAATTCACAAGGAATTTGCATAATTAAATGGAGAGATCGTCGTGAAATAATGGCTATTTCGAGTGAATTTAATGCACGTATGAAAACCATGATGAATCGGCGTGGTCAAGAAAAAAAAGCCTGTAGTGTTAGATCAATCTTCTTCTTAACGTGCCCTATCAAGTCCCCTTGGCGTTGGCGATTAACATGGCGAAACTGTCTCTGTCTCGAGCTATTCTAAATAGTTCAGTTAAATTGCTCAGCTTTCTTTATTCCTGTCGACTCCCTGATATTCTTCAACCAAGAGGCCTGCTTTCTACCAATTCCTCTGCGTCCTTCGATTTTACCCATCATAATAAGTTGAAGAATATTATATCGGTCTCCCCTTACTATGTGTCCAAAATAGGCCATCTTTCTACATTTGATGTTATCAAGCAGCTCGCGAGCAGCATTTGCTCTTTCAAGGACTGCCACATTTGTCAGCATAGCCGTCCATAGAATTTTTAGTATATGTCTGTGCAGCCACATCTCAAAGGTCTCCAGGCGATTAATCGTGGATATTTTTAATGTACATGCTTCGACACCGTATAAGAAGACTGACGAAATGTAGCATTTAACCATGCGCTTTCGAAGTTGAAGTTGCAAGTTATCATTACAGAAGAATGACCTCATTTTTAAAAATGTCGTGCGGGCTATCTTGATTCTACATTTTATCTCTTGATCTGGATCTAGTTGTTCAGTAATATGGCAACCAAGATATTTAAAACTGGACACTCTTTGAATTATATGACCATCAACATATAATCGTGCATCTTGATGTGCTAAACACCATGTGTTTTGTTTTTGAACAGTTTATGTTTAGGCCAAACTCTCTTCCCACTTTATCAATGGCATTTAAAAGGCATTGTAATCCATTCATGTCATCACTTAAAATAACTGTATCGTCTGCATCGTCTGTATCGTTAGATCAATACAATGAGTTTATCGCAGGGGCTGACCATTGTGACCAGATGAAGTGAGCATAAACGCCCATTTGGTATAAAAAGCTGGCTGTCCGTATATTTCAAATAATGATGATCACATCACATTATCTTTACAAGAAAGGGAATCCTGACAATAAAAGGACCTTTTATGATTACCGATTATGTATTATTGAGAACTTACAACACCAGAACCATTACGAAAAATTAAGATAACACATGTTTCTGATCTTTGTTCCAAAAGTGAAGGAGAAAATAAAAGAGTTAATAGGATACAGTGTCAGGTTTGCTGGCAAGAAAAAAAAAGAGTTGACTCAATTTATTACTGTCCATTATGTCCCAATCAACCTGGACTGTGTTTATTTTCATGTTTTCGTGAATTCCATTCTAAAATATAGTTTTGGTTACTTTTCTTTAGTTTTAGTTTCTCTTGAAAATTTATTTTAAGATTTAATTTTTTTGTTTGTGTTTTAATTTAATGTTCTTTTTATGTTTTACTGTGAATTTTGAGTGCTCTAATAAAATATTTTTTGTCGTTCACCGCCCCTAAGGTGGTCTTGTGTTCTTTGGAAAAATATACCAAAATTTGAACTTAGTCTAGTACGCATCAGCTAAAACAAACATTACAACACTATTTAAAAAAATATGCGGCCATCTGGACTTTGTCAATAATGAGTTGCATGTCTTAATTGTAGTAGTAATTATTTGTAGATATAATTGCCAATAAATCTTTTCTGGGCCAAATATGTGTCTAGAAAAGTCTCATACTGAAATTGAATGATCTTCTTCTTTGAGTACCGTGTATTATATTGAGTAATAACCATACATGTCCATAATTTCATAATCATTTCATAACTACCCCGACAATTCAACAACTCTATGTAAAAATATCAAAATTTAACGACATTTACCGGTTTTAAATAAAGCAAACCCCCAATACTTCTCTGGTACTCACTATGTAACAAATACCTATATAAACATAATGCATATTTTATATAAAATGTACTTACAACGCAGCTTGTCCATAAGTTTGCCAGCACATAAGGTAGCAAGAGCTACTTTAATTGAAAACACTCTGATCTTTCCGACATTATCACTAAAATAAAGAATGTATGCCTATTAAAACTTAATACTTAGGTTAAGAGATATTGTAACTTACACTGTAGCATATGCAGCCAGTATCCAGTTCAACAGCAAACTAACACAAACATCAACATGTGCTTGTTGTGTTGGTGGCGCCCTCTTATTCAAGCTGTGGTATAAAGAACAAAGCAGCGTTTCCAATCTGGCCACGCTTAGTTCCTGTGAAGGTTCCAATGCATGCAAGCCTTGTTCCCTGAAGGCTTCTATGACATTCCAGATGTCTACGGCATGTACTGGAAAATAAATTTTGAATCAAACACTTTGTGAATTTTTGTAATATTATAGTCTTTAATAAATTAAGTTCTTAAAAGCAGTAAATAATATGACATTGTTTGTTTTATTAGGTATCAGAGAACATAAGGTATGTTATACAAATCAAAAATTAAACTAAATTGATTATATCAACTAATTTATTAGATTTAATTAGATATAATTAATTAAAAAATATCTAATACCCTTAGAATGAAATCCACCTAGCAAACTAAGCGATGCTTATTTTGTTAATGTCTAGACAAATCTTTAAGAGCAAACAATTCAGGAACACAACCTATAAATCTTATTCTGAAGCTCTTTTATATACAAATTGTATCTGTACAAATAAAACTCAATTTAAAGGTTACAAGATATTTGAATCAAAAAAGAAAGCAAATGACAGAAACTCAGCAAAATTTAGAAGAACTCCTTTTATTGACGCAACAATAATTTAAAAATTGGACTTTTTTTAAGAAAAATTTCTAATTTTTCACAATGGTCCAGTCGAAATAAGATGAACAATCTAAATTTTGCTGAGAATGTCAATTTTTGGACTCCAAAAAGGCGCAAAAACGTTTATCACTCCTACTTCTCGGCTTACCTCTAAAATCCACCTAGTAGGGGGGTAAGAATGGAAAAAATCCAATTGCCAAAATTTTGTTGCAATTTTGTGTAGAGTCAACTGTTCTCTTAGAAACAAATGACAATTTTGAATGTCAGTTAGGCACGTGAAATCAATTTTAAATAAAATTTATATTAACTCGGCAGTAAAACTTCGATATTTTTTATCAGAGTGCCCTATCAACCAAAATCAAAATGTGTTTTAAAAGTAAAGAGTGCAGCTTTCGTACGCACTTTTTGTATTTTACCACAAACTAAGTTAAATAGATAAACGTTTCGCAAGTTTCGCTATATTTTAGATTCTCATAGTAGCTATGGAATTTTCATTGTTAGAGCCTAATCCTCAAAACCTATAACATGAAACTTCGATTTTAAGTGTTGACAAAAAATATGAGGCTTTTGAACTATGCCTAAAAAACGCTGAAGTTAAACTTTCACATTACAAACAACTGCAAGTCACAGAAAATTTTTCCACAAAAAGAGTATTGGGACGAATTTGTAGCTGAAGTTGTGTATATTCGAAAATATTGGGTAATCAAAGAGAAGCAGTTGTAAACATTTTACATCGTTGTAATGTGAAAGTTTTTAGGCATATTTCAAATGTCTCACATTTCTTGCCAAATCAAAACTGAAATTTCATGCTCTAAGTTGTGAAGATTAAGTTTTAACAATGGAAATTCAATAGTGACCAGTCAATGGAAATGATAAACTCTTTTGAGCTCATGAGAATCGCAAAAAGTTGCAAAAATCACAGAACATTTATTTATTTAACATCATCATCATCATCAGTGGTGCTACAGCTCTAGTTGAGCCTTGACCTTCCCCAGTCTATTTCGCCAGTCGTTTCTGTTCATCGCCAACCGTTGCCAATTTGCCGCGCCGATTTTCCTTGCGTCCTCGTCCACACCGTCCCTCCATCTCAGTCGTGGTCTGCCTCTACTCCTATTTCCCACTGGGACCGATAATAGAGTTCGTCTGGGTGGGTAATTCTCATTTGCTCTTGACACATGTCCAGCCCATCTAAGCCTGCCTATTTTTATGAAGGATATTACATCTCTACCATTTACTATTTTTTATGTTTATTTATTTAACACCTTTATATTTAATTGCAATTTATTTGCAGCGAAATGCAAAATGTGATACGAAAGCTATACTCTTCACACCTTTAAAACACATTTTGATTTTTATTGATAGAACACTCTGATTAAAAGATAACGAATTTTTACCGATGAGTTGATACAAATTTTATTCAAAATTTATTTCAAGCACATAACTGACATTCAAAATTGCCGGTTGCTTCAAGCGTTGTTTCTGAGAGAATGGTTAATTTTGCACAAAAAGTGCCACTTAACATTCTTGTTCAAAATTATCTCAGCTACATTTGAATCTCTCTCAGACGCATATGCGTCTATATTCTTTTGTAAAATATTCAAGTAAAAGTAGTAGTTATTCCACACACTTCAGTTCACTTTAACTAGTTCATTTTATAAATATTTTTGATGAAAGTATAACAATATAATCACAGAATAATTTACTGTTATTAAAGACATATTATGTTGTTTTTAATTCTAGTTAGCATATTTATTAAATCAAATACTCACAGCTGACTTTCTTCTGTATAAATCTCAACTTGGTAGCAGTTCTATAAGAAGCAAACCTGATCAAATCAAAGTTATGTGCACTCATTTCGTGAATTAACGCCAGTCTGTGGTCGGAAGACCCGGAGAGGCCTTCTTGACCCTGCATATCTACAACAATATTAAAATATAAACAATAAAAAAATACTAAGTAGGTTAATGCATTTGTTTCTTTTCTACTCTTAAAAATGTCAATTATCAATTAAGAAAGTTTAATTGACATTCTTACCCTGATAAGCAGGCGTAAATACGAAGTAATTTAAGCATAATTAAGCTAAATTGGGATTAGGTCAAATTAAAATCAAGAAAAAAATCAGATATTTGTTTTAAAAACATGAATCTTAGTATGGATTGAGTTCATTACTTTACTTTCGAATGTATCATAAATTGAAGCTCTAATGCGTGTTTGATCAATTAGAAATAGGAGACACTTACTGTAAGGATGTATTTTTCATTAAATAACTTAAATTCCTATGTATTCAACACCACTGTTGACACTTTTTTAGTGCATATTCTCCTAAATTTACGACACACGCCATTTTCTCGTACTTTTACTCCCTCTACTCCCACTACTTTTCAGTATACAAACATTCCATGCAGAGGTCGTCGCTGATGCTGAAAGTTAGATAACTTATTCTACAGATTTTTTAAGGCAGGACTGGGCTAGCCCAAATTGTTTTACATATTTAAATTTGTTGACCTTTATCTTAACACGTTTATATACAATATGCTATAAATACATATTTGGTACATACAATTATGTCTACCAAATTATGAAAAGGTAAAGGAAAAAAAAACTTAGTAGGTACCTAGTGGACCATTGAAACTAGAAAACTGGCATATTGAAACGGTTGACAAATACATATATCTGGGCCACGAAATACAAATAAGTAGAGACAACCAAACATGCGAATTATCTAGAAGAATAGCTTTAGGATGTGCAGCCTATGGCAAGCTAAAAGACGTGTTTAAGGAAAACATCCCAATAAAGCTAAAGAGAAAAGCATTTAACCAGTGCGTACTTCCGGTGCTCACTTATGGAGCTGAAACACTGACATTGACTAAAGCATCAATAAAAAAGTTACAAGTAGCACAACGAAAAATGGAAAGATCTATGCTTGGCGTAGCTTTGAGAGACCGAATACGAAATGATGAGATACGGCGAAGAACTGGAGTGGAAGACGTCATAAAACGGATTACGAAGTTGAAGTGGAAATGGTCAGGACACGTCGCAAGACAGAGAGACAACAGATGGACAAAGAAGATTTTAGAATGGCGGCCAAGGGCCAAGGGCAGACAAGCGAAATCGTGGAAGACCACCTACCAAATGGACGGACGACATTAAAAGAATAGTGACAAACTGGATCGCAGCTGCACAGGACAGAGAAGAGTGAAGACATCTTGAGGAGGCCTATGTTCGACAGTGGACAAATTTGGCTGTGTGATGATGAAAGGAAAAAATGTACCAAATTAGGTAAATTTGGGACAAAAATGTATCGAAGAATGAAAATCCGTAGAAAATTAGGACTTTTCAGTAATGAACCCGTTTTACTATATCACTTACATTGCTATTACGATATTTGTTGCAGAATACTCTCTTGTGTTATTAAAATGTGAGTGGTGTGGGTGTCCAACGTCACTCAATTTTCGTCCATTAGGTATATATCTGAAACCAGTAACAGGTTTTCTTAAAAGACTAGATATTTGAAATAAACATATATATTGTGGCGTGCCACACATAGATATTTTTGAATATTCATGTTATATGGATTGGAATTTAGTTCAATGCCAAAAAGCCTTTGTGTATATAAACACAAAGTCTGTATATCTTGAAAGGAATGTGAATAGACAATAAGATTAAGTGAGTCAATTGCTGATATAGGTTAAACCTGTAATTTTAAGTTGGCTTAATAAAATACAAAAGTATTTATCTCTAGTTTTAAATGTACAACATGAAAAATCAGTTAGGTTAACTTAGAGAGGAGTTTTAAATGTACAATCCCTTCAGGATGGGCTCAATATCGACAATCACGATATGCGCCAGTCGCAAACCCTGTGCTAAATTTTTTATTTAACAAAATCTGAAAACAACTGAAAATTTCTCATTTTTTGCTCCTATTTTCGTTTATAATTCGGAAAATATTGATCCTAGAGAAAAAATTATAAGAAGTTAAAAGTTTCGTTATTCAATTTTACACAATATGTCGTTAGCTAGAAATTGAAAATTTAATGTTTATTGTTGAAAAAATAGCAATAATTGGAAAAAAAAGTACAAAAAAAATTAAGTTATTCCTTTAAATGTTTTCGACTTTTTAAACTTGACTTGCAAGCTCCATATTCCGCCTAGAAAAACTTTTTAATATGTTTAAAACGTGTGCTAAATTTTTTAAAGATCGGTCGGATAGGTTTTGCATAATAATTTTGCAATCCAGCCTACTGAAAAAAAAAAAATCGCAAATTTTCAAATTTAAAGTAGGCCCTAAATAAGGCCCTCAGATAGTTGCAATTTTTTTTACATATAAAGGAAGGCTCAAACTTCCAAACGCTTCTTGTAAAATTCAAATCGGTTCACTAGGAGAGCCTAGAAATTTTTTTAAAGTTTTAAACATTTTTTAGGCTTATAAACAAATTGAATAACTTTACGAGCTTTAAACATATCATTTTCGAATCAAAATATATTCTCAAATCAAATAATGTCATTATTATGGTAAAACTGCAGAAATTAATTATTTTAAAAAGTTTGATTTTTACAAAAAAAAAAAAAAATTCGTTCGCCTTTGTTTTAACAATTCAAATTCTAAATCTAATTTGCATTCAGTATTTTCTACTAACCACTTTACGTCTCTTTTATCTGATGCAGCTAATGTTTTTGCATGATTTATAGATAAAAGTAACTTTTTTCATTGTCGAGATTAATGTGATAATAAAAAACAACCAGAACAAACCATGTCTGAAGCAAAAGCAATGAAGATGGTAAAAATGTGATTACAAGAAAAAAAATTAAAATAAGTAAACTTTTTCCTGTGTACTGTGAAAATCTTTATGAACATTTTGAAGCATTGTTATTTTTCCTACATTCCTGATGTTCACTCTACTTATGTGCCTGAACCTGATTCATCTTCATCTGAAAATGACTTCCGCTCTTTCAATTCTAACGAACAGATATGTCTATGCAACTCCAAAGGAATAGGTAGTGATGATGAATGTTCTTATAATAAAACAAATTGTAGGTCTTCAATCATTTATTTATAACAATACACACTTTTTGGACCTAATTAGTAAGATTTATATAACAAAAGCGGTTCTGCTATTAATGTTGAGCTTACACACATTTTATAAAAGTATAAAAGCTACATTGATCACATATATATTAGGCTCTTGATATGTACTTTTAACAAACATAGTAAAAACGTGTATATTACAAAAATAAGAATATTTACCTAGTAAAATTGTAAATTCTTTTATCAAAATTTGTATAAAGGTAAATCATATTTTTGTTTTATAAAAATTAAATAATTATTACTCTCCACAAGCGATAGAACAATACACACTCCAAAACGATAACACATTATTATATTGTAAAATAAATAATGGGTCTTTTATATAAACTAGACAACTCTGTTCTCTTACAAATTGTATTAAGATAGACATTAATAAAATGTCTGCCTACATCGTCAAGTATATCATTGAAATATGTCCGTAAAATATTCAGCCTCTGTCATTTCGAGTATTTCACGTCTCTTTATTAAACCAAATGGACCAATATGTATCCAAGAAAAAACAACATCTCACGACAAGAAAAATAAATATCTTGAGGAGGTATATCAAGCTTAAACGAGGTCATTTAACATTAAAATTTGTCCGAAATTATGCAATTTTAAATTTTTTACAAGCTTTTTTTTTCTTCATTAAATACCCTGTTAAGGTCGATTCAAACACATCAGTCACGTCTCGTCACCGTCCCGGCGCCGAACCGAACAATCCGTCTGCCGCCGGCATTCACATTCATCAGTTGACGAACAGTTTCCCAGCTGTCAGATAATTAATAGTTCTGTGACCAAACAGGACCGGTTCGGCGCCGGGACTGATGTGTTTGAATCGACCTTTATATGAGCGCTAATATTGTCACGTTAGCGTCGGCCCAACCGGACAATGGCACTATCATGGAGTAAATTATACGAACGATATTGCCGTTGTCGAATTTTTTTTATTATATATGTATAGCAATTTGTAGTTCCTTTATTTGATCTTGTAGCTAATGCATATGTTAGTACTGGTTTTATAGATGCGGTTTTTTACTCCATGTATTCACTTTCTTTCCATAATATACCTCCCAGATATCTTGATATTGTAGCTTTCTAATTTGCTTAATTTTTGTTTCTCGTGCAATGTATCTTTGCAAATTAACTCTTTATACCAATTAGAACGAGATAACTTGTCCTATTTGTACAATACATATAATCAAAGATAGAACTACATTACATATAGAAGTGAAAAAGACCCTTACAATATATTTATTTTTTTAATAAAATAACTTGTATTCACTGAAACATCAAACAATAAAGCTCACACGAGAACAGCAACAGTTATTAAAACATTGATTTTATATTTGTTTGATTTGAAATAATTGTATTATATACATTTATTTCAATTTTATTGGTCAAAAACAACCCATTCAGCGGTTTCAAAACATTAAGCGAAACTTAGCTGTTAATTTTAAACATTTCGTTTACTATATGGCCTATGCTTGTTTGAATCCGTTACTTAAAATGGTCTAAAGATGCGAGAAGAATTATTATCTTTCTGAAACACTTTTGAAACTGACCCAAAACATTCTTCTTCTTCCTCTTTATAAGCAATTCTTCTTCTAAAATCTTCACTGGTCTTTCGATCTTTCGGCGTATTTGTTCAAATTCTTCTCAGTACTCTCATCTCTGCCATTTCCAGTAGCCTTTGCATTGTGGCTGTGTCAGGTCTTCTTTCTGAGACATATGTCATTATTGGTCTTACACTGACTTTATAAATTCTTGATTTCATGTCAGTGTTAATGTGTATGTTTCGTTATATATTATTATTAAGGCATCCTGCCAGTCTACTTGCTTTTTGAACATGATCTCTCACTTCTTTGTCCAGGTCTTCCCAGCTAGACAGTGTAATTCCCAGGTATTTTATTTCCATTACTTTTTCAATACTGATGCCATTAATTTCTATTTTACATCTGGTTGGTACTTTGCTGACTACTATTGTTTTAGTTTTCTGAGATTGTCAAATTAAATTCTTTTGCTCTTATGTTAAATCTGTGGATCAGGCTTTACAGACTATCTTCATCTTGGGTTATCAATATTGCGTCGTCTGCTTAACAGAGCATTTTGATTTCTTTGTTTCCCATTCTGTATCCTCTTCCTTTGTTAACGCTTTCGATGATTTCATCCATGATCAAATTGAAGAGCATGGGGCTCAATGGATCCCTTGTCTTATTCCGCTGCCTATTTCTATAGGTTCTGTAAGTCGTCCATCTATTCTGCCTTCCATTTTGTTGTTTTGGTAGATGTTTTCGATA